TCTGCGAAACAAGAAACCAGCTCGGCGAGCCAACCAACCTCAACAACCACAACAACCACAACCCGAGCTACAAATCTACTCCAAAACCTTTGAAATTCACAGTTCCTTGAAAGTAGAGTCAGAAGTAGACAGGATAGTGAAGGCAGTGTTTGGTATGCTTGCCTTTGTAGGTCAGCGCATTGAGTATAGCAGTTGGAAGATCATGTTGTGGCTGTACAGGACATTGGTTAAGCCACTGCTGGAATACTGACTGCACATCTGATGTCCTTGCGATAGGAGGATGTTCTGAAACTTGAAAAGGATTCAGAAAAGATTTACAAGGATGCTGCTGAGATTGGAGGGTTTGAGCTATGGGAAGTGGCTGTATAGTCTAGGGCTACTTTCCCTGTAGCGTCAGAGGCCGAGAGGTGAATTTATAGAGATTTATACAATCAAGAGGGGCATGGATAGGGTGAATAGTCAAGGTTTTTTCCCTGGGGGTGGGAGAGTCCAAAACTAGAGCACATGAGAGAGGGGAAAGATTTAAAAGCAACCCAAGGGGCAATATTTTCAGAGAGTCACACCAGAGGAAGTGGAGGCAGCTGGTACAATGATAACATTTAAAAAGACATCTGGATGGGTATATGAATAAGATGGATGGAGGGAAAAAGAGGGGAAGGAGAAGCTGTCAGTTGAACAGGTACAAATGTATTCCCTCTAACTTTTCCTGTATAACTACTTGGGTGCATCAGCACTAACACATGGTACTGATGTGCACCGCCATTCCATGCTGCTATAATTGCTACCAGCCCATTAGAACAGCTGGGTCATTTGTACAAGTATTCACACAGAGAAAATACAAAAAGTTTAAAGAGCACAAAATAATCTTCACTTTTAAACTTAAACGTTCAAGCAAGTAATAACCAATTATAAATAGATTTGGAGCAGAGGCTAAAATAAACTTTAAAAAGCAGAATTCAAAAGACATGGAAACGCATCAAGGGTTAACATTTCTCTAAGGTCTCGCCTTAGAGGAACAGATTCATTAGGGGCATTTTCTGTACTTCAGCGCTTCTGCACTTGCTGCGCATTCAAGTGGAATAATAGTGAACATGAAAAGTTATCATGACCCCTGCAAAATGTGTTTACAACCAGTCCTTCATTTAAAAATCATTCAACTTATTAAGACACCCCTGTATGGAATGCATTCCTCTTCATTTTAAAAATATGATATGCCATTGTTTCCTTGTAGTTATGAACGGCTATGTTCTACTGTACTGAACTGTGTTCTGACTTGCGTACAAAACAACTTGGGAAATGTTCAAGAAAGAACTGCTTGCAACCCAGGGGACGGCCTGCTGTTTTTAGAAATATGTTTCAGTGTGACGTGATTTTAAACAGTTCTTTTATTAAAAAGAAATTTCAGCCTGCTGCAGGATTTGACTTGCATTGCCAAATTGTAGCCAAAAATTCCACATTTCATTTTGTAAGGCCCATACAACATTAATCAAGTACAGGTACTTCCTGCAAGATGATTTTTATTTAAGTTTACTTATTCTTCTGTACAATGCTTCCACAAATTATTTTAGGTAAATATCTGAGTTACTCAAGCAGAAAATACAGAATTAACAATTTGCACAGAATGGACTGATGTGTCTTGGAGTAGTACATCCATCAATTGCTTCTCCCAGGCAATAGGTGAAAGCATCACAAAATACCAACTTCACAAAAATTAGAGCAAAATACAGCAGATGCTGGAAGTCTGAAATAAGACCTAAAAAGCAGTTTGAAAAACTCAGCTGAATCTGAATTCTGAGGAAAGATCAAATGGGTTGGAACACTGGCTTTTTCTTTCCACAAATGCCACCTGATCAGAGTTCCTTCAGCCTTCTGTTTTCATTGCAAAAAAATTCAAGAAGCAGAGAGCATACCAAATTTCTTGGTAAGCATTTGCTAAACATTTGCCAAGTGTGCACAGGATTTGCAAGGATCAAGGCAATGCTAAGAAAAGCTAAATGACTGCAACCAAGAATAGAGCTCTGAGCAGATGTAGAAAGCAGTCTTCAGCTTAGAAAGAATATGGGTGACAGATGGTTTAACTTGGGTCATTGGCACAATTTACTTAAAGTGTGGCAAATGGATAAAGTGAAGCAGAGACAAGTTAAAATACTGAAAGTAAATTTTAGGAGTAATGCATGGACATTGTACAAAAAAGTGACCAACACCATTTGCAGAAAGACTTCACGCTGAATCATAAACTTGGACATACATGGGAGGGGTAGCAGTAGTATTATAAGGCTAGCAATCCAGAGGTCCAGACCAAAGCTCCTGGGACACAAGTTTAAATCCCAGTGCAGCAGCTGTCAGAAATTTGAATTCAATTAATACAACATTTGTGGTACAGTGGTTGCTCCCTATCTGAACCAGAACTCTGGGTACAAGTCCCACTCCAGGACACTTCAACAAAGCACAACAACGTGTAATAATGTTCCCTCCAAGCTGCACAACCATGCAACTGCTGGGAGGAGGTTCCACGTATGCCAACTGGTGTGCTGATGCTGCACTGGAAATTAGAGGGAACGTTGATAGTAAGTACCAAATCATCAACCTAAATATTGAATGATGCCCATTAGAAGAGGAAATTTACCATCCTTACCTGGCCTATACACAGCTCTATATGCAAAGTATATAGCTGACTCCATGGCCCAGAAAGTCACTCCATTCTATCAAAAGGTTATGAAATCAAAGAGGACTGAACACCAATAAGCATCTACCTGCACACAAGAAATGACAATTGAAAATCCAATATTGTCGACTCTGCAAAGCCTCCTTACTAACATCTAGAGATTTGTGCCAAAGTTGGGGAGCTGTCCCACAGACTAAGTGAACAGCCCAG